TACAAAAAGGCGTGGCACGGGAGAAAAAAAGCCATTGATCGTCTGTATGGCACGTGGGAAACGAACTTCGCACAACTCCATCAGTAAGCAAAAATAAATTATAAACGTATTTACGTGTTGTTTTTAACTATATTTATTTATTTATTTATGGTTACCTTTTATAATTTGCAGGTTTTTCGCCGCCCTTCAAAGGGCGAATCCCGGTACAGTCGTTGAGTGGGAATGGCAGGGTGGAGAAATGGCGAAGCAATCTCGAGACAGAGAATTCAGATTTGTCTTCTGGGCGTTCGGCCCCGCCATTCAAACCTTCGTTCGTTGCCCGCCGATTATTAGCATCGACGGCACGCACCTGCGAGGTTCGTACAAGGGGAAACTACTTGTTAATTGCAAATTAATATTTTATTTTCTAATTTACAATAGTGTCTCATAAGAAAAAAAAAACATATGTCCAACTGGGTAGGTTCGTACAAGGGGAAGCTGCTTGTTGCCATAGCACAGACCGCGAATAAGCGTCTATTGCCAGTCGCGTATGCGATTGTGGACGAAGAAAGCACGGCTAGCTGGTCCTTTTTCCTAACACATCTGCGCCATCATGTCGTCCCCGGCAGATCGATATGTCTTCTTTCCGACAGGGACAACGGCATATTGAGTGCTGTTGAATTACTGGAGACTTGGCACGAACCCCATGCATTTCATCGTATATGCCTTCGACACCTCCGGAGCAACGTGTTTTCAAGGTACCAGAATAAACAAGTCCGGGGTTTGTGTTGGAGGTTGGGTTCATTGTGTTCTCGCCGCAAATTTGAGCAGAGTCGACAGGAACTCCATCAATGTAACTCGGACGCATACGATTACCTTTTCAAAGTTCCTCTTGAAAAGTGGACCCTGTACAAAGATGGAGGACGTCGATGGGGAACTCTAACAACGAATATGTCAGAGAGTTACAACAATGTCCTCAAAGGTGTTAGGTTCCTGCCCTGCAGAGCGTTGGTATAGGCCACATTGAACAAGACTCTGGATTTGTTTGAACAGGAACAAAAGAAGTCCACAGGATGCAGGACTCCCATTCCTACCGACCTCTATGCCGCCTATCGGGAGTTGGAAAAGACGACGGTGACTCACGAGGTGCATTGTGTGGACGCCGACGGATCCCAGTACATGGTGACAACCGGTCTACGCGCCAATGGACGAGGGCAAAACAAGTATGTATTTTGTAATTGTATTTTTTTTTTCCATTCAAATGAGTTTATTTTTTTTTCTAATTTATATATATAAATCATTGTTGAAAATAGGTTTAAGGTCTTTTATGAGCAGCAGCGTTGTGCATGTAGGAAGTGGCAAGAATGTCGGGGACAAGGACTACGACCCCAAGACTTGGGACATTTCAGGCCAGTTCCTGTTTTTCAGTAGTCTAGAAGAGGAGTGCAAGCGACCATTGGAGGATGGACTCCCTGCATCAGAGTACGAGGGGAGGGCGAGAGCCCTCATACTCTGGTGTATTGGGTCCTTCTTTTTCCCCTCTCATCGGGCCAACGGAGTCAACCTCTACTGGCTGTCCCTATTGAATGTCATTGATGACATTCCGGGGTACAGCTGGGGTGGAGCGCTTCTGGCCGGGGTATATAGAGTGCTCTGCGAAGCTTACGAGAGGGAAGAAAAATATATCAAGAGCTGCGTGCAGTTGATTCAGGTAAATTTATTTACTTGTTAATTGTATATTTATTTTATTTATTATAAATTACAATAATATGTGCTAAAAAATGTATATGTCCATATGCGCAGGTTTGGGCATGGGAACGCATCCCTCGTGTTCGCCCAATCATGAAAAAAACGCATTTCGGCTCTCAGCCTGGTTGTCCTTTGGGTGCAAGGTAATAATACCCCATTTATTTATATTCAAATCTTAAGTTATTTCAATTATCAAATTTTTTCATTACAAATATTTTTTTTCTGTGATTTTTAAGGTGGGTGGGATCGAGGGACATGAGGCACCTCGGGACGGGCACGGCTACCATCCGAGATCAGCTGAGTGGCCTGAGAGAGACTGATGTAAGTTTCTTAGGTCATAATAATAAAAAATTGTTATTTTTTTAATTCTATTTTTTTATTACATTCATTAATAATTCTATAAATGTTTTTTTTTTTACAGTTCGATTGGGTACCCTATCAGACGTACGTAGACGAGAGTCGGCTCCCGGACCAGTGTACACGAGACCGACATCTCTGGATGTACAAGGGGTGGATCTTCTGCTGGAACATCGCAGAACCCCACCAGCCTGATAGGGTGCTCCGCCAGTTTCGGTGCCACCAGCCCATCCCCCAGACGCCGATCATTACTAATCTGGCCAACTGGGACACCCGCCACAGAGGCCAGGGCATGACCGGGAGGGCATATACCGATTGGCAGGCCTTCCATGCTGATCTTGGGAGGATCTGGACCGAACAGAGAGATCAGAACATCCTCCCAGATGTCCCGGTGGATCCCTTCCTGCAGCCGGCAGAGGGGTACATTGATTGGTATCACAGTAGGACTGTGAGACTACTCAATGACCCTAACAACTACGCGGCGATCTCACAGGACGGCGGGTTTCAGCCATATGCCGACCGGGAGAAGTGTCAGGTAAGTGTCTGCTAATTTGTGATTATTATTATTATTATTATTATTATTATTATTATTATTGAAGTTATATTATTATTATTATTTTTAATATTTAATAGATATTTGAATTTTATTTTCAGACTTCGGGTACGGAGGGGGCGTATAACATGCTATCCAACATTGAAGACTTTGATACGCTACCTCCCCGAGCGCAGACACAGTTCCAGCAAGCCCAGGAACTTCTGTACGCTTCTCTGACTGTTGGGGGTCATTCGGTCACACAAGGGGCGTCGTCGGAACAAATTTTATCTCAAGAGGAGTACGCCCCACCCCAACAGACACAGTCCCAGCGGGCGAGACATAGACCGATGTCCCACATTAGTGGGGGGAGAAGACGCCGTGACCGCGAACCCGCCGCTGCATTCCCCGGGAATGAAGAAGACGAAGAAGGTGAGATTTTTTTATTTAACTACAAATATATATTTTTTGTGTTTGTTTTTATTTATTTGTCCGGTCGAATTACTGATTTTTTACAAAAATTAATTAATAAGGTGGACAAGAAGAAGAACCAGCCACGCCTGGACCGACTGCAGGATCGTCTTCTTCGATACCGGGGCCTCGGAGAGGGTCCCGAAATCGTAGGGCTAAGGTTGCATTTACTCCTAGTCAGTTAGTTTGTTTTGTATTTTGTGATTTTGTGGATATTTTTTTTTTTTTTAATTTTTTGTACTAGATTTTCAGATATTTATTTTTGATGGTTTTGTATACATTTTTTATGGTTCATTTTTTTTTATCGGTAATGGTGGTTGACTTTTATTATATAGTATTTTGTGTATGTATGTATTAATGGTAGGGGGTAGATTTATAATTTGA